ATATTATTTATTTATACTTGAATTATTTACAAATGAAAATTATTTCATGATTAAGACTTTATTAAAAATATTAAATATTTTCTCTATCCTCTTATTAAGAAATGTAATTAAAAATAATATTTTTACAACCTTATTAAAGTTATTAAATTCATCATTTTCCAAGTATTGTATAAAAATACAGTAAAATTATTACATTCTTTTTTCTTAAGAAAATTTGCTAGAAATTTTCTTCATTTTCCTTACTTATCATTTATAAATAAGAATTTACTAAAAATACAAAATTTAATTTACTGTCTTAAACAATATTTGTCAGTAGTTTATTGAAAATTAAATTTGTAATTTATCTTCTTATTATTAAAAAAAAATAGTCACAGATGAGTGTTATAATCATAGTTCCTAATGGTTATAGTAAAATAATTTATTCTGTTATGTCCTACTTGCCAACTATCCGGATACTTAAAAGCGATAATGTACGTCAGCGAGACTTCCGCTACAACATTAATTAAAAATTAGTATCAAAATCAACTTCATAGAGTTTAAACGACAAAAGATTCTTATCACCTGTTACGTGTTTAATTACCCTACATTTCATACCCGTGATTAGATGAAATAACATTTGTTATCATACAACCAGCTATTTCAACAATACCGAGCGTGTACCCATTAAATACATCATTAGAGTCGTACAGAAAAATTCCATTTGACTTTCGATTAAATTTATTTTATTCTCTTTGTGCTAGAAGTACACTGCAAATTGTGGAATAATAAAATGCGGATATATCTGCATAGTAATGTAGTGGAAAATTAAAACAGGGAAAAAGAAAATAATTGAATAATAAAATAGGAAAACGGTAAGGGAGGAGAACAGTAAAATAATAAAATAGTAAAGTAAAAAAATAGTGTAATTATAGTATACTAGAATAGTATAATAGTTTTATAATAATGAAGGTTAATAGTAACATAATAAAACAGTAAAGTAAATACAATAAAATAATGAAACAGAAAAAAAGTAAAACAGTAGAATATTAGTATACTAAAATAGTAAAATAATAGTTCATTAGAACAATAAAATAGTAAAGTGTTAAAAGTGATAAAATAGTATAATAGCAGATTAACAAAATGGTATACTAGTAAAACTGTAAAATCGTGAATTCATAAAATGGTAAGAATGGTAAGATAATAATATAAATTATTAAAGCAAAAAAAATGATAAAATAGAAAAATATTAAATGAGTGCAGTAGTAAAATAGTAAAACATCAAAATGACAAAAATGGTTAAGTGGTATAATAGTGAAATAGTAAAATCACAACATAATAGAATAATAAAATAGCAAAAGGTTAAAATAATAAAACAGTCAAATAGTAAAATAATACAATAGTCCACTAAAATGGTAAAATAGTTAAATCACGTATTGATCAAACAGTAAAAATATAAAAATAATAAAACATACATAGTAGAATAATAAAATGATAAAACGAAATAAAACGATAACTCCTATAAGAATAACCGTTATCCATAGAAAAAATGTACGCAGATACTATTCACCTAAATAACCAAAATACAAAGTCAAAATATCGATATATAATTTTACATTAATAATATACTTGCACAGCTATATTATTCAATTACATTAATTTTCAAAGTGACATATTTAATATTTCACGCGTAATCGTATCGAACGAATTTTAATTAACAGTCCTATATACATAACCTAATTAAATCTCTTCCCACTCCAGCAAAAATCCTCGCGAACAATTCAAATATAAATCAAGGTTACAAAAGAATTCAACTTCAAAACGCATTCGAATGTCACGCAACTCTACAAAAATGAAATAAAAAGAATCTAATAATCGGATTACTGCAACATGCAGATAACAAAACAGACATTTCTCTCGTCGGATAATCACAATTGAAATTGAACAACTGTCAAGTACACTGACCTCCATAAGAAAACTGTACGAGTCAAAGTGCGCCCCCATGGTTACATTTCGAAACGAACGAACAAGTGACAGGTAAAATTACTTACGATTACGAGGCGACGGTGTCCAGCTGGCCCGCATTTCCCGTGTTTAAGTGATGTACCGGCATCTTTTTGACAGTTGCTGTCTTTGGTGTTCGTCTGCTTCATTCTTTCATCGCGAACTAGTTGACGATCGCTGGTTGTAAACAAAAAACGTAACAACACCGACGATCGATAAGTAACCGTAGCTACCTGTTTCGTTTTTCTTGCGAATTAAATGCAACAGCCTGCGCGAAATAACACGACCGTACGGGCCTTCTGGAATGGCACCAACGAGTTGTTGGCCGTTCACAGCACCGCGACACTTAACGCGTTGGAAACGGTCGCTCACTGGCGCACACTCGAAGGGTGAATGCATCGATCGAAGCACCCTCTACTACCCGGCTTTTCTCATTGGTTGATTATCGCTGCGCGCGCACTCTCGAACGCACAACACCTCTTGCGCATGCGCGCTCACGCTTCGGAAAAAAGAGCGCGCAACTGCTTTCGAAGTTGTATTTCAAATTGAAATATTTCGAAACTAACTGTTTCAAACTGTTATATGAGCCATTTATCTTGCAAGCGGGACAGATTTACTTTTGGAAAAATAAAGATAATGATGACAATAGATAAAATGATACATTTATCTGTAATAAAAGTTATTGATATTCTTTAATATTTGATGGTTTGATTAACGGTATTGGAAAAATTATTTTGAAAATGGTGTAAGCTTAAATTGAAATTATTTTTAGCCAAATATATTACGATGGCTCTGATAAATTTTAGTAAAACTACAAAATAGCATCGCTGGTATAGGTAACCTTAATATAAGTAAGTATGTGCTATGATTGCTGATTCTATTACCAGCTTGCAAGTATGTTACAGTTTCTAATAAACACTCAACAAAGTCGACACGGTTCTTGTGTTAGCATCGGTCCACAAAACCCCTTAAAAGTTTTACGGTTATTTCAAAATTAATTATACATATATTGACGTTTTCTTGATTAACAAAAAGTATTCATATTCAGTGAATATTATTTGTAGAGGTAAATTACTATTGCTATGTACAAGTTTAATGGTAGCTATACAGTTCTTTGTATGATGCGTCAATGTATAATTCCAGACAGTAACAGTTATGTAGAACCGAAAAAGTATCATAACGGTTATTAGGAATACCGGTTTTGACTTATATTGGTAATGGTTTTGTTTGTTTTAGCACCAACGTTACATCGGTTCTATGACCGTTACTTTTCGGTCGTATATTTTGCTGTTGCATTTTGGTTATCGTTCTGCTTTTACGTCATAAATACATATAAATTATTGTACAATATATGTAATTTATAGTTGGTACATTTTCGTTTTACGACTGTAAACGTAAAATGTGTAATATGTATATATACCGGGTGTCTCAGTTTTCTATTACAAAACCATGTTCCATACGCATAAATAAAGATGTTACATTAACACAGTGTTTTCAACACTTTGTTAAAAAGTTATAACAAAAATGCAAGACAACTTTAGATAGTTTTTTATGCCATATACAGTGTGTCCCAGTTTCATAAAACTTTATTAGCGTGTTACATAAATAAAAATACTAAAAAATTTTATATAAGTATATAAAATGTTTATGAAAAGATTATCAAAAGATTATGAGGAATACACAAAATGAAAATGAACGATTGCCATCTGCGATACATAGAAATAATTGTCGACTTTCATATTTTTTTAATAACATTAGATAATGGATTGAAGAGTCCATGTTTATGTAAACATTTTTTCTTATTTTTATTTATACAATATGATAGTAAAGTTATACAGACAAAACTAGAACACCCTATATGTGATGTCGGACAACGAAACACTCCGTTGCCATTCTGTATTTTTGTTAGCAGTTTTTAATGAAGTATTTGAAATGCCGTGTTGATAAAACATCTTTTTTATTTTTACGAATAGAATGCGTTAATAAAGTTTGGAGGTAAAAAACTAGGACACCTTGCATATAATATGGAATCGTAGAGGCGAACTCTAACAGAAATGCAGATCCGAAAAACAACAGTTACTGAACCCATATATATACATATATCTAATAATAGTTACGTTTATGTTCTCTTTTCAGTTCTTCTTATGAGCCAAAACCAGTATCATAATTGTTTTCAACTTTTGCTTCAAACTTTTGCGTTGCAATATTATTGTATTGGTATGTACATTAGTAATGGTGATATATATGGAAAAATGAAAAATTTTAAAATATAAAAGTTTTGAATTTTTGAAATTAGAGTTTTTAAGACTTAGAAAACTTAGTTTAGGAATTTCATATTTTTAAATTTCCATAGTTTCAAATTTACAAATTTCAAAATTTCAATATCTAACTATTAAGAAAATTTAGAAATTTAGGAATTTCTAATCCTCAAATTTGCATAGTTTCAAATTTCCATATTTTCCAAATTTACTAATTTACATATTTGAAGATTGGAATTTTTATGAATTTGGAAATTTACAAGTTTAGGAATTTCAAATTTTCAAATTTCCATATTTCCATATTTGTACATTCCCATATTTCCATTTACAAATTTTTCGACGCTACAAATTTACAAGTTTTCAAACTTAGGAATTTAGAAACTTGATACTTTTAATAATTCGATACTCTCTCAATTTTATAGCATGACAATTTATATTAATCTCAAATTTTGAAATTGAGAAATTGACTAAATTGACCACTATTCTCCAACTATTCGATTTTGTACTTCCTTTTAATTTTACCAACTGGAAATCAATTTTTGTATTTCATACAATTTCGTGTCTTCTCTCTCATCTTTCAAGAAAATCTATTTCCATCAGCATAGAATTCATCCATAAAAATTAAAATGCAAAAGCTCTATAAAAGCTCGTTTATTTTCACGAGATACAAAAATTGATACCCTACATTTTGTTCTTTTCTGGATAAAGGATAGACATAAAAGGAGAATGAAAGCGTCGAAATGTCAATAAAAGCTGAAAAATAAAAAACTACGTAGGTGTTTATTTGTGCATATAAAAAGATCCCTGGTCTGTCAGGGACATGGGTGTCATAAAACGACACTACGTTCAGCGTTCACGTGACTTTGTTAGATCACCAGCTGAAAAGTCCCTATCTGGTGAAAGATCTCTGGCTTCCTTGTGTCCGTTGGATTTAGAATTTCATACCAAGCGTGGAACGTGTGACGACGTGATTCCGTCTGAAAATACTTGAGCTATGCTGCCAGAAGTTCTGAAGGACATCGTCAGAGAAGCGTCGTAGCTTATTAAAGTCCTCCTCGCTTCCTCGCACCAGTTCCAGAAGATGAGCTTTTGGTCCCTTGCCTTCAGGTCCGTCAAAAGCAAAGAGAGGTTCTTCGCGACGGTTGCATCGATTCTGAGCACGTGACGACCTTCCACTATCACTGGAATCGTCTCTGATCTCCTGGCGCACCTAAAGAACAATAATGTTACGTTACTGCTAAACAAAATGGACGGCACGAGTTGCGTGCTCAGATTTATGGTCCGATCGCAACGGAAAAACGCCTTTATTGAATCGCTGTGAATAAAGTCGTTTATTCATGAATTTACTAACTACAGTAGAGTAACGATATAGGCGATAATAATCGGCACGATATAAACAAAAACATAATCCCTAACACTGGGGGCAGATTCTTCGAGAAACAAGAAGTTCGCTCGCCGAGAAATGTAACGTGATCCGGGTTCAGGTATATCCATGAGACCATACCAATGCAACTATGACACTTTTTTATTTTTCATTCTTTTGTTATGAAAATTTTACCAATAGATTTTTCGCATTTTTCTGATTAAAATGAAACCAAACACGATGTAATTTGGTCTATATTTATTGGTTTAATTGACGGTAATAAGTTTAGGACGCAGGGGAGGATAGCGTGTGAGAAAGAGAGACGATTGTGGCGGTCGATGAAGATCGAAAGCTTGTTATATTGTTTACAATGCTAATGCATTGCTAACTTTTTTTTTAGTTCTTTTCTATGCAACTTTTATCAACATATCTGTGATATTTTCCTCATTACAAGTGGACCAAACACGACGTAATTCGAGACATATTTACTTGCAATAATTCGAGTAAACTGCGTGTAAGCGTAACGTTTGGAATTACAAATAAATGTGTAAATTTGTAAATTTATAAAATAATGTAATGTAGTAGGCAATATATCGGTAGTCTACTGTACTTACCAGGACATTACTCGTTCCCGTAGATATTCTGCAGCCGGATAGCTCAACGATTGTTTCGGGGATACGAACAGGATCTTCAAGCCATCGATAAGGCGTTCTTCTATCAGTAATCCGGGTCTGGCCGCGAAATAGAGCAGCAGAATTAGATTTACCGCGATTCCAGCAATCATCCCATATTCTGGACCGATTGCCAAACAGCTGAACAAAGTCACCGTCAAAGGTATCAAATCGATCTCTGCAAATAGTAATGGATTCTCTATTACTAGCGTTCCACGATTCTCTATTCTCACAGAAACTGTCTTTAGAACAGATCCAAGAAATTAATTCGCAAATGGAGTTTCTAACCTTCCGAATCTTCAAAGTTCGAAATACAGGACGCTTCAATAAACGAAGCTTCACTTTTAATTTAAAATTCCTGGATCCTCAAACCTCTAAATCTCTTTCTCAGTTTTACAAATACCTAAATCTATGAGTAGAGTTTTCGATAAGTGAATGTTATCTTATCATTGTGTGAAATATAGGCAAGTATGATAAGACACTCCTACTTTTCATTTCCTACAAGGCGGTTCATTAACCTCATAGCCACTGAACTTAAATGAACGAAGTAATATTTGTCCGCCTTTACTGATATTTTAGAAGCTTAAATGATGTTCAACAAACAAATAATGTTAAAAGGGAGTAACACATCGATAAGACGTATCTAGGCCAATCAAAGTTTCGGCAATCGCCGATAATTTACGGCGCGCAAGTCGATAGCTGATCCACGGTTAACACTAAAAATAAAAGAGATTCGGAAGGTATGGGAAGTTGTGTAGAGCAAATAGCTATTAAACTGTTATATCAAAAGGAAGAATAGAGTTCATTTGGAAATCCCAACAGACGATGTAAACTTACTTTTGGTTCTCCAAAGCACTGTGAAAATATGAAATTCGAGCATATAGTACATGGCAACTATGATGACCGCAGCGAGAGTTGCTTTCGGAATGTATTCGAATGTCGAGGTCAGAAGGCCGCTGGCTAAAAGCACCAGGCATCCAGTAATTACACCGCCCATCGGTGTTTTTACACCCGAAGCGTTGTTTACAGCAGTTCTTGTGAAGCTTCCTGTGCTCGGCATTGATCGTGAAAAGCTTCCGAAAATATTACAAAGTCCCAAAGCCAGCATCTCCTGATTAGCGTCGACCGTCTTTCCTTTAGCTAAAAATACATTCAACATGCTTATATATTGTTGATTAGGAAATATTTATATATACATTGTAAATTCTGTTAAATTTTCAAAAACTTTTTATTAAAATTTTGTACGTATTTTTAAGTGCAAAAGTAAATAAAACGTATGAAAATGTAGGTAGAAGTCAGTTCAAATAAATAAAAATGATTTATAATAACTTTATAAAAATTATTTATAAAAATATAACTTATAAAAATTATTTATAGTAAATTATTTTATTTACTACTTTATTGTAAACTCAAATACCAATGTGCAATTGAATTTATTTAACTAATAATTTTTATCAGTCATTTTATTAATCAGTCAGTTTATTAATTTCATATTATTGTGCAATATTTGGAGTTATAACAGAATGTTAAATAAAATATATACTGTTATAGTAGTGCTTACAATAAAACATTAAATAAAATAATAAATACATTACATCCTTCACAAATTAATACATAAATAGTAAGAAATTTGTGTAAACAATATGTACATAAATGTTATCTACATAACAATACAATTAATTTAACATTTTTCTTGAAAACATACCAAAAGCTTTGGCAATAGCAATGCTCTCCAAAATGGCGATCAGTGGAACGGAAATGGTGGTGCTCCCTAATTCCGCAATGAGGTCCTCAAAGTAGTACGTTTTATTTCCATGCACAATTGAGAATGGCGGTGGTGCGAACGATGGCAACCCTTCCGTAATATTTCCAGTAATATTGAAAGGTTTAATATTGTAAGAATACAAGGAATAACTCAATATTATTCCGATGACGACGATCACAGCGTTCCTGGCCAATGACGTTACCCACATCGCCTTCTGAAACGCTGTTCCATCTTTCTTTCCACGTAAGTTCTGTTTTTCGACATTCAAATTAAATAATGTAGTATTGCAAGTATTTTCAGATTTTAATTAAAATTTAATATTTAGCTACATTAAATTTTAATCCTTGTATTGAAATACGATTTGGGCAAACTGCGGATCATTTGGTATTGACAACCCATCCAATTAAATTGAACGTAGTAAACTGAAACAACGAAATTTAATATTTGAACGGTCCATAGCCGAATGTAAAAGGAATAAAAAAATTAATTTTCGTTCAACGCTTTAAAGCAGACATGGGTGTAAATATACGGTAACTCAATAAATACATCAAGCTTCGTGTTGGTTCTAACAAAAGGCGTTCTTAACAAGGGGCGTTCCTAATATGGGGCGTTTCTAAGCAGAGACGTTGCTAATAGCGGACGTTTCTAATTTGTGATGTTGCTAATAGACGGCGTTTCTAATTGGCGACGTTGCTAATAGAAGACGTTCCTAACACAATCATTTTCGAATATCGAGCCTTATTAGCAGAAAATGTTCCTAATAAGGGGAGTTCCTAACATGGGACATTAGCAATAAGGGGCGTTCCTAATAGGCAACGTTACTAGTACAATTTCTAACACGGAACATTCCTGATATGGAGCACCCATGAAAGGAAGAGTTCCTAATAAGAAATGTCCTTTACAATGGGCGTTCCTGACAAGAAAGATTGCTAATATGGGGTGTTCCTAACAAACGGCGTCATTAATAGAAAATGTTCCTAACAGACGGCGTAGCTAATAAAAGACGTTCCTAACACGAAGCGTTTCTAATAAAAAGCTTCCGTAGGATGAGATGTCCTTAACAAAGGACGTCCTTACCAATAGGCGTTTCCAAGCAGGAACGTAACTAATAGGCGGCGCATCTAACGTAGAGCGTTCTTATTATAGAGCATTTGTAAAAGGAAGCGTTCTAAATAATGAAAGTATGATAGGGCACAAGACGAGGTAATGGGAAGGTATGCTGCTCGTTTTTATGTTATTCCTAACAGGAGGCATTGAGATGTAGAGATTTTTTTATTAGAGAATATTCTAATTTGATGGTGATATTATTAAAGGTTGTTTTTAGCTTGAAACGTTCCTTATAGGGAAACTTACTAATAGTAGACGTTTGCATTTGTGGGCGTTTTTATTAAAAGGCATTCCAGTCAGAGGGAGTTCTTATTGGTGGGCGTTCCTGCCAGAGGGAGCTCCTATTGATGGGAGTTCCTACTAGGAGTTGTTTCTATTATAGAGCGTTTCTGTTAGTGGGTGTTTCTATTAGGAAATGTTACTGTCAAGGGACGTTTCTATCAGAAGGCGTTCTTATTACAAGTAGTTCTTATTAGTAAATATTTCTATTAGAGGGCGTTCCTGTTAATGGGTGTTTCCATTAGGAACTGTTACTGTCAAGGGGCGTTTCTATCAGAAGGCGTTCCTATCAGAAGTAGTTCTTATTAGTAAATATTTCTATTACAGGGCGTATCTGTTGATGGGTGTTCCCCTTAGGAGCCATTCTGATCAGGGGGCGTTCCTATCAAGAGGCGTTACTATTATAGAGACTTCCCTTAGGAGGCGTCCTCATTACATGACGTTCCTTCTACTGAGCGTTTCCATCAGAGAACATCCAAAAGAAATTTGTGATCAGAAATGTTTCTGATGTATAGGCTACTTCATAAGAAATTATTGTAGCGATAAGACAAGGTGAAAACACGTGAAAACATATTAATTGGAACATAGTGAGATCGTAAGAAGGAACACATGATAATACTCCATAAAGCGTAAAGTGGGTGTACCTTCCCCGTTTCTGAGGCTTATCTATGTTCACCTTTGAACCAGCTCCATTTACCACCTAGTGCCCATGCCTGTTCTAAAGCCTCAGATCCTTTGATCTTTACATGATAAAACTCAAAAGTAATTCTCTTTTCAGTTGCTTTTTTCACGTTTTCCGTCGTGATTAAGGGACCCTAATTAAAATTAGTACTCCGTGCTGCTTCCAAAACCTATCAAATTTTTAATTCCACTTTTATTCTCAGACATAATTAACCTTAATATTGAACATATACAAGGTGTGTCAATTGAAACGGCTGCCCAGAAGAACTTTTCATTTACTGGTAGTTTGAAAAAGTATTTGAGACAAATTATGTTGCATTCAAAAGCACTTATCAAGGGAAAGAAGTTTATATTCTATAAAAATTATTCTAAACTATAATTTAAATTTTGAGCCCACAAATCATGTTTTTATTGAAAAAAAAGAAGATATGTGAAATATTTAAAGTATTAATAGCTGTAGAAATAAGTAACATAATTTATAATACTCACTTTGAGACAGATCAGTAGAATCATAGAACAGACTCCCAGTACTGTGTCCCACAATTTGACCTCGTTAAGGTGATCAACAACTTTGACAACGGCGTCAATGAAGGAGTCGCTTCTACCACTCAGACCAAGAAGCGTTCCCAACTGAGATGTTCCAATTATTATCGCAGCTGCGTTCGTGAATCCCGAAATCACTGGCAGACTAACAAATTCAACAAGAAATCCCAGATGAAGCAATCCCATGATCGCGATTATGCAACCTGATAAGAAACAGAGGAGTACCTGAACACAGAATAACATCAGTTATAACCTCCGCATTTCTGATTCTAACATTCCTACCAAACGACGATTCTAACAAGAGGCGTTTTTAACAGGGAGTGTCTCTAAAAAGGGGCGTTTTTAATAGGGAGTGTTTTCAAGAAGGGACGTTTTTAACAGGGAGTGTCTTTAAGAAGGAACGTTTCATAGAGGCTTTTTTTTTAAATAGAAGGCGTTTCCGATTCAGAGCGTTCCTAATAAAAGGTATTATTAACGGAGAATATGACTAACACAAGGTGTTATTAGTAGAGGGTATTCCTGGAAGAAAGCGTTACGAATAGAGGGCGTTTTCAATAGAGGGTGGGTCTAACAGGGGGCGTTCCTAAGAGGGGACGTCCCCACAAGAGGGTGTTGCCAATAGAGGATGTTTGCAACAGATGGCGGATCCAATAGGGGGCGTTCCTTAGAGGGGACGTCCCCAATAGAGGGCGTTCTCAACACAAGATATTCCTAACAGGGGTTGTCCCTAATAGAGTAGTGCTTGCAACAGAATTCATTCTCAACAACGGGTGTTTTTAACAATGTGGGTCCATATCAAATTTGGAGTGTATCTAGTAGAGTACAATCGCAATAAAGGGCGTTACTAACAAGAGGCGTTTCTGACAAAGGGCGTTACTAATAAGACACAGAACATCTACAGCTTAAAAAAGTACTTATAAAAACAAATGCACTTTGCTTAATATTTTAATTATCATAGATCTTGCACCGATTATTACTGCCTTCTCTAATTATATTAAAATAATAAATTACATTTTCCATTGACTAAACAACGGAATCATCTCAGTTCTATGAGTGTTTCTGTTCTTCAAGAATAACGCAATCCACTCTACGGTTAATAGAAACATATATCTCTTCCTCTTCAGGAAATAAACATTTTTCAAGGAGAGAATTAGACAAGACACCGGAAAACTTCAAGATAAATATGAAAAATGTTTGAAGTTGCACTCACCGCGATATCAGCTCCGAGTCTTATAACATGGTGCTGCGACAGTAAAGCCATTATTGCTGTTGGTCCCACTGTGATGTCTTTACAGCTACCGAACACCACGTAGACGAAGCATCCCATGAAACTGCTGTACAGGCCATACTGAAGTTTTCAAAAGTTCACCTAACGAGAACCAGTTCTTCCACTATTGTCAATTTCATGCAACTGTTCGCTTTTAGCAGTCGTTTCTAATGGCGTGAGTTGGGATTTCGTTTGGGAAGATAACCTTAGCGTTGCGTTAAGTATGCAAATGCAATCATTTTCTAGTTTATAAAGGTCTCAATTTTTTAAATTCAAATTCTCAGTTTTTCAAATTCAAAATTCCAAATTTCTCAGTCTTCAAATTTCTAAATTTATGAATTTTCAAATTCATAGATTGACCAATTCCTAAATTTCTAAATCCCCAAATTCCCAAATTTCCAAATTATAAGTTTCTAAATTCCTAAATTGACCAATTCCCAAATCTATAAATCCTCAAATCCCTAAACCCCCAAATTCTCAAACCCCCAAATCCCTAAATCCCCAAATCCCTAAACCCCAAATTCTCAAATCCCGAAATCCCCAAATTCTCAAGTCCCCAAATCCCTAAATCCCCAAATTCTTAAATCCCCAAATCCCTAAACCCCAAATTCTCAAATCCCGAAATCCCCAAATTCTCAAGTCCCCAAATCCCTAAATCTCCAAATTCTTAAATCCCCAAATCCCTAAACCCCAGATTCTCAAATCCCGAAATCCCCAAATCCCCAAATTCTCAAATCCCCAAATCTCTAAATCCCCAAATCCCTAAATCCCCAAATTCTCAAATCCCGAAATTCCTAAATCCCCAAATTCTCAAATCGCCAAATTGACCAAATTCCAAAATCTCAAATTCCCAAGTTCTCAATTTTCCAAATTTCAAAAATGACAAAAATTATAACACTAAAATAAAACCTGACACTCCTACCAAACCAGTCTCTTTCACTAATAAATTACAGGGTGTCCCATAAGTGCGGTTCTATACGTAAAAACAATGTACAATATTACTATTGTACCTTCTTTATCGCTCTCCAGGAAGCTTAAGTGGCGTTAAATAAATAGCAACGAATTTACTAAACACGACAGTGAAGAATTAACTTCAATTATCTTTTAAACGAGCCACGCACATTTTTAAACGCGGATAAGCAAAATATGCGAAACGATGAAACTACATTTGGAAGTTTTTAAAAACAAAGTTTCATTGCGGCTCGCGATATATTATAAAATTTCAGCTAAAATATGCACTTGCATAAACATCAGCGGGCTAGTTAGAAAGAACGAAAACTTTTTTCATTTACAAGCTCATTTAAACTTGGCGAAATAAATTGGAAACTTTATAAAAGAAGTATGTATACACACCTGCGCTGGTAGTCCAGCTACAATTGCATAAGCTATACCCTGCGGTATAACGGTCAAACCGACGGTCATTCCCGCCAAAAAGTCTTGCAGGAATTTCGAGAAACTGTATCGAGGCAGCCACTCTAGGATCGGTATCCTTCGTAGGGTGTAGCGCTTTAAACTGGAGCCTGAAGTTACCTCTCCCCCTGTAATAAATAAATCATACATCATCAGTACAGTAAATTATGGTAAAAATATTAGTAGTTAGCAAGTTTTTAAAAAATATCAAAAAATAAGATACGCTTTAGATGAAAATTAGGTAGTCAGTGAGGACTTGTAACGTAGGTTACGTTGTTATGAGTAGTTTGTGAATTTGAAATCTTCGCCTTAACCTTTCTTTAGACGTGAATTTGAAATCTTCGCCTTAGCCTTTCTTTAGACGCGCCTCTACAGTCCCTGGCAATCGAATTACCACTATTTTCAGAATTTTTCACGTTTTCCGTAAAATTAAAAGGCCTGTTCAAATTGTAATTATATAATTTATTAGCTACCATGATACACTACTACTGCACATAACATTATTAACACACGTTAATATCTTGTATTTCCACCCTTTGCTTTGGTCACAGCTCCCGGCGTGCTCTGTGTACATCATATACTTTATATCTTCGTTATTTTCCCAAATATCTGTAATTCTTTTCAACTCAGATAATGTGGTTGGAGAGTTGTAAACTAGTCTTTTGAGTAGGCAGACATTTTCTATGGCATTCAAATTTCACCTCTAGCGCTATACTCGAGCCTAACGTAAACGCACGGCTCTTAATCGCTCATCACCCTCACAATTTATTATCACGATAGTAACAAATTGCTATGTATATAGTTATCGACGTATTTAGTAATTTTGCATGACCTAAGACAATTTCCCGTATGTGACATAATGTTATAGCCATGAAAGTGAAATTTTCGTAGTCCTAATTCGATGACCAGGGACCGTATGTAACATCGTCAGTCGCGCTGGGACGACTAATTCCATAGCAGCCTAGTTTTTTGTAATATCTTCGTTATTTTCTCAAATATCTGTAATTCTTTTCAACTCAGATAATGTGGTTGGAGAGTTGTAAACTAGTCTTTTGAGTAGGCAGACATTTTCTATGGCATTCAAATTTCACCTCTAGCGCTATACTCGAGCCTAACGTAAACGCACGGCTCTTAATCGCTCATCACCCTCACAATTTATTATCACGATAGTAACAAATTGCTATGTATATAGTTATCGACGTATTTAGTAATTTTGCATGACCTAAGACAATTTCCCGTATGTGACATAATGTTATAGCCATGAAAGTGAAATTTTCGTAGTCCTAATTCGATGACCAGGGACCGTATGTAACATCGTCAGTCGCGCTGGGACGACTAATTCCATAGCAGCCTAGTTTTTTGTAATATCTTCGTTATTTTCTCAAATATCTGTAATTCTTTTCAACTCAGATAATGTGGTTAGAGAGAAAACTAGTCTTTTGAGCAGACAGACATTTTCCATGGCTTCCAGACATTCAAATTTCACCTGTAGCGCTATCGATACTTGAACTTGACGTAAAAGCTCGCACGGCCTTTAATCGCTCATTATCCACACAATTTGTTATCGATAGTAACAAATTGCTAGATATATGTCGTCATCAACGTATTTAGTAATAATTTTGCATGACTCAAGACAATTTTCCATAAATGACATAAGGTTATAGCCATAGAAGTGAAATTTTCGTGGTCCCAATTTTTTGTAATCTTTCAGATAACTTTTACTTAAAATGTTTTTAGTAAATTTGTTTACTAATGAAACTTAATTTTGTTCCAAGAAATATATTTATGTAAATTGCACTTCTTTAGAAATGCGTAACAGTATTTGCATAGTTTATCATTTTCATTTCATTGTTTGGTAAACAACATTTTTGAAATGCTCAATTTAGGAAATATGAAATTTGCAAAAAATGATACTTTGGAATAGTGTAAATATGAAAAGGTGAAAGTTTGAAATTTAGGTACTTCTCAATTTGTCAATTAAAAAATTCCTGTATGTGAAGATTCGAAAGTGATTAAATTAAAAATGTGCAGCATTAGAAATGTTAAGGTTTTATAATTGTAATATTTATACATTTTTAAATTGTTGAATTCCTAAATCTTAAAATTGTTAAAATCATAAATATCAAAATGGTTAAATTTCTAAATTTCCGAACTGCTAAATTGCTCAATGTGAAAATAGTTAAATTCCAACATTTAAAAATTGTTAAATTTCCAAAAGTAAAAATTGTTAAATTCCTATATTTAAAAATTGCTAAATATCCAAAAATAAAAATTGTTAAATTCTTAATATTAACCCTTTGCCTTATGATTTAATTTCCAACAGTGCGGGCCAAAAGTGACACCAAGATCGGTCGCGCGCAGGGACATACACAGTTTGACTCAGCGTTCGAAACTGTACAAATCGCAAACTTCCTATGATTTGTATATACACGTGCGCGGTACAATTAACTTTGCAAGATGTTTGATAAATAATTACGATTAATTGATTATTAAACAAAAAAAAGATTTATTGTTGCAAGTTTCTGAAATGTCTTATTCATGTTTGGCCAGATAGACTTACGACGCCTCTGAGGCGTCATTGTGAGCTAAGGGGTTAAAAATTATATTTTCAAACTCTATAATTTTAAATTAAACAATATTGTCTTCATCCCAACCGTGTAGTTCCAATAACATGCATTAAAATCTATTTAACAGTATAACAAAACTTAACTTACATATATTCCTATGTTCCATCCAAATATGTATACTGAATCCCAAACACCAAAATTAAAGACAATTTCTCAGAATCAACAACAAATACTTTAATAACGAGCTCTCAGTAAAATGATGAATATACATTTTTAAAACATCGTGAAGAGTTCTTTGGACTCACCTAATCTCTCGACTACTGAATGACGAGTCATTCACAACATATGTTTATACGTACTAACTCATTCTTTTAAAGTAAACAAATTAATTACTAAATAAATACCGTATTCTTACCGGTTGAAATGACAGTGTACATCGTATTAGACATTCTCACAAATAATTTCACACTAAAACTTTAGAAAGATGGTTCAGTCGGCAATGGTGTCTCTGTATCACTGTTTGAAATTGTACACAATACACGCTGCATGAAAATCGAGAAGTTAGGTTATGTAAGTTGATGGTAACGACGCGTTGCAATTTACTCATTACCCATTGAGTATAATGTTTAATTCATTCGCAGCCTCGTAACGCTTTTGTATTTCAATAAATTACTGTAATAAGAAGGTTATGACAGTATTATTACTTTGTTGCAATTTTAAAGAGAATAAAACAGTGAACTGCTTGAAAAATGTGTACATCTTTAAGTAGCTAAATGTGTATGCTTAAAAAAGAAGTATACATAATATAAAACAATACATAAACATATAATAATACACGTAATAATAATGTGTATAATACAAAGATAATTATCACATTGTTTATTGGTTTTAAAATCAGAAAAAGGAAATCATTAATGATAAAGCTGATTGATAGAATCGTATAACTCCACAGGTATTAATTTGATAAAAAATAACTGATTGTATGGCAACAATAAACACAATGAGCAATCATATTTTAAATTGAAAATAAATGAATTTACTTAAAAATTGAAATGATGTAATGTAGCTTCTATTACTGCAATAAAAAGTATAATAATTTATTATATAGTAATAACAATGAGTGTAATGTAAAATTGCATCAAATTTTAATGTAAATAAATAAATTGACTTGAAAATTGAAATTATGCAATACAACTTGTGTTAATGCAATAAAAAAATATTATACAGCAATAGAAATAAATGTAAAATTACGTCATATTTTAATATTTAACTTTTGCAAATGATAAACAATTTGCATAATATATAATAGTCTCATATTCAATTTGTAATTAACAAACAACACAACTGATTACAACATAACAAAATTTGTAATAATTTAACAAAACAAAATAATGAACAAGTTAAATTAACAAAACAAAATAATGAACAAGTTAAATTAACAAAACAAAATAAAGAACAAATTAAATTAAAAACAAGATGATTATGTTTCAGCCAAGATTATATTCTAAAATATAAATTTAAAATAAATAACAAATTTTCTATTGCATTTTAGTATTCAATTGTATCATTCTTAAATAACATAACCTGAAAATTGCAACGAAATATTTGAATCTTTCTAAACGAAAAACAACTAGAAATTATATTTTGAACATTATATTCAAGTTTGAATATCTGATATTTCAATTACCAAGCAAGCACCTTCGGATTAATAACGAAATTACGTTGCACACTGAATTTTAATATTGTTTATAATCAATAAGATGGACACGTTTCATCGCATTATATTATAATTTCATATCAGTAAGCAATTTAGTATCAGCATTGTTGGATCAACAGTATTAAAATTTTCCAATCGATAATAATGCAATAATAATAAATTTTAATATGAAAATACAAGGTAGAATGAAATTATTAAATATTTATAAAGGTAAATACAAAATGCATTACAAAATAGGATTTGTTAATTTAAAATTCGGGAATGATATTTGCTAAAGTGCATTATACATAGATTTCGAATTTGCAATATAATCTATAGAAGTTTGTTGATTAAAAAATTTAAATTGCAAAATAAAATATAATGTAAAAGTATTTACTAATTGGAAACTTTAATATTATAATAAAATAGAATGTTGTATTTGCTCATTATGGTATTGTTATAATTTATAATCTATAAATATGTGTTTATAATTTATGTAGTTTAAAATATGGTATAAAATAGAGTAGAAAATGTAACTGCTCATTAATTATGAATTTTAATAGTATAGAATATAGTTAAAAATGTAATTGCTCATTAATTATGACATTAAGTAGAATAAAATATAGTAAAAGATGTAATTGCTCATTAATTATAAATTTAAATACTATAAAATATAGTAAAAATTATAATTGTTCATGAACTGTGAATTTAAATATTATAAAATATAGTGAAAAATGTAACTGCTCATTAATTATGAATTTAATTAGTATAAAATATAGTAAAAAATGTATCTACTCATTAATAATGAATTTAACTAGTATAAAATATAGTAAAAAATGTATGTACTCATTAATTACAAATTTAAATATTATAAAATACAATAAAAAATGTAACTGCTCATTAATAACAAATTTAAATACCATAAATTATAGTAAAAAATGTAATAGGTTAACTATAACTTCAAGCAGTAACACATAGCAACAAATAATTACTAGAAAATAAAATATAAAGCAATTACATTTATTATAATTGCTATATAATTACTAGAACGCTAACGAGTGATTAAAAAAGGATACAATGCGAGCTGCCTCGAAGAAGAAATGCAAATGATTATAAAATATAAAAAACAAAGCGTTGTTAACACTGCCAGACTCAACTGTGTAATATTACACAATTTCAGAGAAGGTGGTGCTGCACCTGGTTACTCCAACGATAAGAATGTGTTTATCTTGAGAATTATTGGAATTCTATCAATGTTTAAACAATTTTACTATTCAGACACGTTACCACATTGTTGCGGTAACAAATGTTACCAATATTGCTGTAAAATATTACTTTTACTTTACTTTAAATATTACTATTACTATTACTGTTTTATTATGAATTATTATATTGAATAATATTATTATACTCAGTTTTATAATATTAATGTTGAATTATTTATTACTGATTCTCTATCAGAAATTCACGTTTACGCCCAGCACAATTTTTATGCATTTTGTATTCAGGTAATAAAAAAAGAAATTGATCACTGTTAAGTAAACAGTATTTAATAATAACGACTACTATGCAAACATCTTTTGTTCTTAGAAAAACTGGGGGTTATACAACTCGAGTTTTTCAGGAGCAATCATATAATTTTCTTTTATCGCGTTGTATTCGATATATGTCACTTTTATTCACACGCCAGAGAAAGTGAAGCATATTTGAAATACTATTAGCAGTTTCCAATGCTGAAGTATCTAAAAACTTGCTAACGGTATCCAATTTATATCACCGCAAATAATAGGAACGAATAACTAATTGCTTAATGAAAGTTGTTAACGAACCGTAATTTTCCCATTTACGACTCAAACCGCAGAGAAGTAAAACGTTCATTTACAAAATTCTTTCCACACGTACTCAAACATTGCGATCGTGGTTGAAATACGTAAAAACTGTCGAGTAAATTTACTGATTTGCATATTAATTGTACAGCTTCGTGTCAATTTTGCGAACATTTCGAGCATACAAAATGTGAAGCCATATTTCAGGATTCGATGGCGTGTTGTTGATTCGAAATACCGAAGATTAATGTAATTTGGAATATTCCGAAGCGTTTCCATTGATAACAGAAATTTCTAATTACTGCATTAAGAATTGACTAATTAAATTGTAGTCGATAATTAAATACATCCCAATTAAGAATTCAATAGTAATTATCGATTGAACGATTTCATAATTGAAAATTAATGTTCAATATGCAATTCCTACAATTTAAGTCAAATTAGAGATTAACGACTAATTTTAATTCAGGACTTTCTTAATTAGAATAGAATCGTATCTGGTTAGAAATTAAATTTATTTTTAATTCAATCTTGTTTTGCGAACATTAATTTTGAACCTTAATTATAAATTATTTAAAGCGATAATTAGAATTTAATTTTTTCTTCAAGTTTAAATATATTATTACCATTATATTTTCATATAATTTTGTTTTACTTTAATTTCATTATACCACTATATTTTTATCATACTATATTATAGTGATTAGCTAATAATAATTAATATATTCTTACAGTAATAATTCGATATAAGCAAAAATGTCCTAAACAATATAATCAAAAACATTCCGGCGCACCTAAGGAACAATAATGTCACGTTACTGCTGAACAAAATGGACGACACAAGTTGCGAGCTCGATTTATGGTCCGATCGCAACGGAAAAACGCCTCTATTGAATCGCCGTGAATAAAGTAGTTTATTCGTGAATTTACTAACTACAGTAAAGTCTTGATATAGGCGATAATAATCGGCACGATATAAACAAAAACATAATCCCTAACACTGGGGGCAGATTCTTCGAGAAACAAGAAGTTCGCTCGTCGAGAAATGTAACGTGATCCGGGTTCAGGTATATCCATGAGACCATACCAATGCAACTATGAAACTTTTTTATTTTTCATTCTTTTGTTATGAAAATTTTACCAATAGATTTTTCGCATTTTTCTGATTAAAATGAAACCAAACACGATGTAATTTGGTCTATATTTATTGGTCTAATTGACGGTAACAAGTTTAGGATGCAAGGGAGGATAGCGAGTGAGAAAGAGACACGATCGTGGCGGTCGACGATGATCGAAAGCTTGTTATATTGTTTCAATGCTAATGCATTGCTTACTTTTTTTTTAGTTCTTTTTTATACAACTTTTATCAACATATCTGTGATATTTTCCTCATTAAAAGTGGACCAAACACGACAAAATTCGAGGCATATTTACTAGTAATAATTCGAATAAAGTCTTCTATGTAAACATAACGTTTGGAATTACAAATAAATATGTTCAGATTTACGGCGTGTTTGGTCTCATTTTAATCAGAAAAATGTTACAGATATGTCGATAAATGTTTCATAAAAAAAAAAAAAAAAAAAAAAGGAAGTTTTATTCCTGTATTAGGATATGTGTTGTTTGTTTACGTTCTGCCATTCGGACGTCTCCGTTGCTCGCTATCCTTTTCGTTGTTCAGAAAAACATCAATGAACATCAAACATCAAAAACATCAAAAAAGCTTATGTGTACGATATAAACGAAAGTTCAGATCTAAATGATTTGCTATATCGAATGATAATGTATTAGATAGTATATTATTGTATAAAGTTCATAATAAATGAAACTACATTACTATATTAACAAATTTCGTTTCTGATTTGTAAACTGAATTTTAGTAAATTGAGTTAACATTTTTGTAGAATATTGTCACTCTTATTATTACTCCCAACACTGTTTCACTTGCCTATTTATCTCTGTTATGCTTTTACTATTAACATGTTTATGTTATTATACGATATAATATTATAATTTATTTAAAACCGCTAAAATTAGTCATTTGAAAATTGTTATATTTATAAAGTGAATTGCGAAATTTTCGAACTCAAAAACATTTAAATTATTAGATTTAAAAATTGTTCAAATTCTGTATTTGAAAATTGTTAAGTTTCCAGATTCGAAAACTGTTAAATTAAATTTAAAAAAATTCTGAATTTTAAAATTGTTAAATTTCTAATTTAAAAAATTGTTATATTTCTGCATATGAAAGTAAAATGTCTTTGTACTATAACTAAATGTCTTTTTACTTTGTAAATATAGTTGTAAAATTCCTAAATCTCAAAATTGTTAAATATATAAATTGTTAAATTTCTATTTTACTAAAAATACTGTAACACAAATATCTGTATACCTACACAGCATCATTTTCCTCAAACGTTCACTCTCCCTTTGTTCAACGCAACGCTGCAGCTGAGCAACAACTACCAAATTATCAGAACTGCACCATTTCTCAAAGTTCCATTCACACAAAATTCATGATGCTGTCGGCATTCACTTCTAGAACCATACTAACAGATCTAACTGAAATCACGTTACTCGACAGACGAGGGAACAAATTTTTCGGTTTATAAGATCAGTGCAAATACAGATAACAGCGTATGATTACGAGGGTATTGATGGTGCATGAAGAAAACTTCTTTTTTTGTAACACATTTATCGTGTCCGGGTAATATCGCTTGATAACAAGTCACATGATTAATACAACAATAGGATTGTCATTAAGTCGACGAAATATTTCAAATATTTTGTAATCATACTCTGTACTCTTTAGTATTAACACTAAGCCTACCAATAAATAATGTACACTTACCACGAAATTAAAAGTGATGTTGAATAATAAATAAACGGACGATAAAACAGATTAATAACTTCAGTTCTTTATTTCGATGATAATGATCGCAGATTTCAAGGAAATCTCCTTAACAACTTGTGTAACAATAGGAAACTTGTGAACTTGATTGCCAGTTTAGTGTTAAAATTTTTCGGACGTAGTTTATCGAGTGTTTAAAGAATGATGGACACTGAGAGGTTGTAATGACAGGTAGCTACATATATATTTATTCACACTTAACATTATTTAATTATGATAGTATACTTAAAAAAGGACGACAATTACTAAAAGGATAATCGCGTGTCCGCGCGCGGAATAATTTTACTTGGAGGTTACGCGCGAAACTGTCAACTGAAGAACGAAAATAAAAAAAAATTACACTAGGAGGCGCCAATCACGTGCACTTATAAGAGCGGGAAATTGAAAAATTCTTCGTGCATCATGAAGATTTGCAAGAGGAAATGAAAAGTGCTGTACCTTTTTGCGATGTGGAGCTTCGATGAAGAGACATGAGTGATTCAATATTGATTGTTTGATTTCCGGTTCGTTATGTTTGAACTTTAAGCGATGATCATATAGTCACGAGGAAGCGTAATAATATGTAGAATGCACTGTAAGCACTATCAAACAAAAACAGATCATGTGCTATTCATTCTAGAATTTCTGAGACATATGATATTCGTTGAAGAGGGGAGATTCTGGAATGATGTTTTCTTTACAATTTTAATGTAGAAGTATTATGATTATATTATAAAATATTATATTCAAATGATTAAATAAATTAAAATAATTATAATATATACAATATATATAATAAATAAATTAAAAAGAAAAAAAAATATATATATATATGTACATATATTGTAATGTATAATATAATATTATAATTTAATGTAATATAACTATACTAAATTATATTATAATAAATATGTAAAATAATATAATTTGATATAATTGTATTATATTAAATATAATAAAATAAATTATAATATTATACTTTTATATTCGTTTTTATTATATTTTATTCTTTACAGAGTAAACGATATACAGTGCATACTTTGACAAATTTTTAAAATGTAGAGAATGTAGAAAATTTTGAAAATTTAAAAAATTGACAACTTGATGGATCTGAAGGACTTTAAAAATTTTATTAATAGTCGAATTTGGTCTGCAGCGCTAGATTAATGTTAGATATTTATCTTTCAGTAAATGCAAATATCTACAGAAATTCTATCCATTGTTCTCTCTAAGGTTTAAAGATGGCGCCACGGAAGTCAAACAGCTAATCTATAATTCCTCAACATCTTGATTCAAATACAAATATATTAATACAATAGTACTAAAATTATGAAAAACTTTCGTATTTTTCATATCATAGTGATTTTGTAGCATTAAGACTGTATATGTTTTTTTAAAACAAAAGAATAAATGGAAATACAATATATAATATATAGTCTTACATAGATGTAATTAATAACCGTTATAGTGTGGCTATTTGTAAGATAGTATGTTCGTGTCACAATTAAAAATTTCGTGACGTTATTAAACACTTTAATTTTTGTTAAGTGCTGATAAAACAATTTTTATAAAGTTTATAAAATCTTAAATTCTTGTTTTACATAAACTTAATAATTTCATATATTTTTACACTCGAGAGTATAATTATAGCTGAGTATTAATAAATAAATATGTGTATGTATAAAATAATTAAAATAAAATATTGACATTTTATGTAGTTAACTATTGTTTAGTTTATCTTTCGCTACCAAGGATCAGTTAATAGATAATTGAAATAATGTTTGCGATTTGAAGCAATGCCACGATATAGAAAAGCACAAAATAATACAATAATTGCAACTCTTTATCTTTATATCAACCGTTTAGCGAAACTCTTGGATATTATCAAATTGACGTATACTTCAAGTTTATTATACATTCCAAAGATAAAGATGAGTATTTCAATGGGATTTTTAACAAGGTTACAAACTGTCACTTTCTTCTGTTAAATATAATATAATAATGATTTTTAACATTTTAAATTCCTTTCTTATAAAAATATATAAACTTTATATGCAATTATAAAATTATAAAAATATAAAAATATAAAGGTGTAGAAATATGAAGATATAAAAATATAAAAATATAAATATATAAAAGTAAAATAATATACAAATGTAAAAATGCGAAAATATTAAAATATATAAAAAAATATGTTTCATATAAAAATATGAAACTATACAACTATAATGATATAAAAATATTAATTATTATTACAAAAAAATCCGTATACTTATAATGATATAATTAATAGAAAAATATGCATTGAAATTTTAATTAGAATAAAATATTAGAGTATCATGAATTATATTAAATTTAATTTTTAGTCACATAAATATGCGATGAAACTTCTATTGGGTTAAAAGAAATAAATGTGATTGTATAAAATAAAATAGATAATAAATGTGCATGAAGAAAACGTAGGAATGTGCAATAATATTTATATTAATCTAATAAAAAATTAATCCCATTGCATAAAATTAAACACGTAATAAATATAAATAAACAAAGCATGCAAATATGGAATAAAAACTTAGATTAAGTTAAAAAAAATTAATCCCACTTTATTCCGCAGTCGGTAGGACTCGAACCTACGCTCCCAGAGGGAATCTGATTTCTAGTCAGACGCCTTAACCACTCGGCCACGACTGCTTGTGTCAGCTAGTGTTTTTAGCAGTATAAATATGCATCGAACATTCGATTAAATGAGAATACAAAATTATAATTCAAACACAAAATATCATAACATTTCTTGAAACGTGAAATGATACAACAATCTTTTAGGTTATCAAAGTATCAAATAGATATAAATGTCGTCTGAAATGAAGCATTGCAGACGTAATAAAAAACGTGCATAACAGAACAAAGAACCATTATTATTTATACGAAATGTGAAAAGCGTACAGAACGAACGAATTCGATTATGATTTTATAAACAGAATTATGGACACAGCAGATATTCAAAATTATGCTTACCTAGAAGCGGCGTTATTTCGTCAATGCTTCTTCTCTCATATGCCATTTTTGCATAATCGAATACAGTATCAAGTTTACTACTCTGCGCTTATGTCACATACAAGGTCTCAAATACTTCGACTAATGCACGATCTAATAAACTAGTAATGTCGATAAAGTAGGATACCTTTATAACACTTGATTGTAATGTAGTGCTGACTACGGGGAAGCTACTCAGCAAATTATAACATGAATATCACATACACATTCCTGTGATAATATTCTGCGAAAATGGCGCGAAATTTGAAATATTTTATATTCACTACAGCTAGTGGTTGTTGTAAGTATTTATTTTATCTTAACCAGAAAAGTATAAAGCTTATGTTACCTTAAAAATATTTACTTTTGTCCAATAAATTATTAAATTTTTTACGAAGATTTTTGATGAACATAAATTATGAGATTGTAACAAGGTGAGTTTTTAAAAGACGTAATCAGCACGTTACAAGTTAAACTGACAAAAATATAAATGTTTGACAAGGGGACATCAGGGTCGACGGAAAACGGATTTTCCTGAAACTTGCACTGTTTAAAGATCACGTATGTAAACATAATTGGGTAAAGTAGTAGCGCGCACTACTCAAGATTTTCCGAGAAAATCGCATTGGAAAATTGTCTTACTCGTTCATAAAGAGTTCGCGTTAACGGATATTCGTACAACAGAATGGCTCAAAGCGTAACACATGAGGATTCATGCCACGCGGGCGCGCCTTCTCCTCCGCGATAATCCTCATGTGTTTTGTTTAAAAAATTGGAGCAGAGTCATAGCGTTGTTGAGAAGAAAGCGTTTGTGAAAGGAGCTATTATATTTTCATAAATATATTTTATTATATTTAAAATCCTACACTATCGTAGCATCAATTTCGAAGTGAAATTATAATGTCAGGCGCAGATTTTGTTGATGTGCAAGGCCCATCGACGGCAGAAGATTCGGAGTGTATGGAAAAAAATGTGTGCCATGATGTGGCAAAATCTCAATTAAAGGACGCTGTAACGTACTATGAGCATCTTCTTGCTGAAAACGACATGGTAGCAGCTAGTTCTTCAGGAGTTATCAACCACGAGGCCATTATCATGGGCGAAGAAATTTACCGTCGCACCTGTCAAATGCTAGGTGAGATGAAAATTATAGAATGTAACGAACTCTTCATGAAGGATGAGCTCGACGAGGAGGACGTGCTTGAAGTTCAATCCAGTTCATCTGATGAAGAGTATTGTCCAAACGAGAAGAAAACAAAATCGGAGTATATACCATTAGAATATAAAATTAAAGTAGTGAATATTACAAAAGCTCATCCAAATTGGACCTTAAAAACCCTCCATAAAAAAGGGTGCTCCCGCTTAAAACGCATGGAAGATTTGTCAAAGTGGGAATCACATATTAAAAGTGGTGGGACCACATTCGACAAATATGCCGTGATTGATTCATGGACATATGATCGTTTTGAAGAAGCGCGGAACAATTACCAGCAAGTAACTACCAGAAACTTGCAGCAGTGGGCTTTAGCTGCTGCAAGTCAATTTGATAATTTTGATTTCAAAGCGTCCGATTCATGGGTGATTTCGTTTAAAAAGAAACATGGTATCCGGCAACGAAGAATCACAAAATATGTTTCGCAAAGTGAAAATGCGACAATGGAAGAAATAGTGGCTTCGGCAGAAAACTTTCGAAAACAAGTGCGTGCAATTATACCCAAATATAAATTTGATTTTATTATAAACACGGATCAAACAGGTTGTCAGTATCAGTCCACGTTTGACAGAACCCTCGCTAACCGAGGATCGAAAACAGTTATTGTGCAGAGACAAAATATGAACAAAGTCTCACATACGTACACAGCGCAGTACGCCCTAACGTTATCAGGAAAATTACTACCTTGTGTTTTTGTCTGTCTGCAAGAGGTAACTGGCGTTTTTGGCCCGCGTATTCAGAAATTAGTTAACGAATATTCATCGAAATTTCAAAATGTGATTGTGAGATGTTCAAAATCCGGAAAATTAACTACTACCATATATCAGGACTTTTTAAATAATTGTTTAAAACCGTATGTACAAGATGAAAAATTTCTTTTATTAATAGACTCTTGGGGGGGACAAACTAACCCGTCAATGTATGACGAAATATTCCAAGATAACGAGGGTATGACAACATGTACCATAAAAGTCATACCGCCAAAATGTACTCCTCTTGTACAACCGTGTGATGTCTATTTTTATAGACAAATAAAAAATTTAATAAAACGGTTGCAG